AGAAAACTTCTATAGGCCTAAGGCACCTGCTGTCTGCCTTTTAACATATTTTTGCAGCATTATTTTTATAAAGAGGAGCCAGAAATGACTGTATCGGAGCATTCAGCTCAGTATGGTGGAGGATTTTATGTTGGCCAAAAGTTGAGATCTGTCTGATTGTCCAGTAAGTCAACTGAAAACCTTGAGTAGTCTCTGGACTGGGCTAGTATTTCCCACATCACTGAGTCAAATTCATCTTGGATGAATTATAGCTGGATGAATTCTAGGGCCTGAATATAGGTGCCTAGCTTTGCACCTGGCTTTGGGAAAATTCCAAAATTTCAGAATCCTATTACAACACTGTTGGTCCTCTAAGACATCCTAATGACTGTATTCAATATAAATGGAAAAGAAATAAAGAGATACATTATTATGAAAGAAATACATTATTATTAAATAAGTTATATAAATAATCTGAGCTGCTCTGCCTCATCCCTTAAATATGATATGCCTGTAAATAAATTTGCACTTGTTTTGTTGGTCTTTTCCCATTTTGAAGTCTAGCACTTCTAAATAAGCATATCTTTTATAGAAAGTAAAAAAAAGGAATAAACTGAAAACAAACCTCTAAGCCCCTTCCTTCTCAAGCTACCTATTGCTGTCCTGCTTCATGTCTTTTGTCCTCTGATTTCCCATGTGATTATCTTAAGCAATGATTCAAGAACTAAATCTTATGAAGAACTACCATTAAAATAAAGAGCTCAGAATACAGGCTTGAAAGTAGTGGCCTGATTAGACTACATGTCTGAAGCTCATAAAATCAACTTGACAACGTGATCTTTGGAAATACAGTTGTGTTGCCTGATGGTACTATAGGGTTTTCTAAAAAGTATTTTCACTTTCCTGGACAGAAACGGTACTGTATTCCAGACCTCATATGTTCAAATCATTTAAAGAAAAAAAAAAAAAAAAAAAAAGAAATAACCCAAAACCAGTGAAATCATTTCAGTTTACTTTCAAAATTTTTAACATAACATCCACTCTCCAGTTTCATGTGTAAAATCATGGTTTGACCTAAGTTAAGTCTAAGGCTGTGCTCAGTAGAGTAACGAGGAAGCTTTTATTCCTTGCTCTTAAAACCTGTGGGAGATGCAGATGATCTCATGTGGCAATAGAAAGCTTATCTAACAAGAGGCTGTTAGATGGTATGGTCTCTTATACATAGAAGCATTCATATTTTGTTGGACTGAAATCTCAAGACTTTCGGCTACAGAAGGAAATGAATGCTTGATAGGGGCATTTAACAAGGCATTAACATTAGTGAATATCTCTATCTGAACTTAAAACAAAAAGAAAGAAAGAAAGAACCAAGCTAGCAAACATAGATCTAAATGATCTTACTTAGTAAGATACTAAAAAAATCTCTAAATCTCACCCAAAGAGTGGACAGCACAGGGCTGAAGAATACAGAGAAAAGGAGGAGGACTAGAGATACTGTTCAACACTATATGGAGTAACTTTGTATGACTAAAGCTCAGTTAAAGTCCAAACTGAGTAGAACTTTAAAGGACAATGAAAGGCCTTCTTTTTAAAACATGTTAACTTCAAAAGAGGAACCAGAGATAATACTGGTCCATTACTTGATCAGGCCAGTCATCTCAAAACCAGTCTGTAGACAAAGCAGGGGCATTTACTGCCTTTTTGCCTGTGTCTTTAACATCAGTGAGTCCTAAATTCTCTTTTGGAAGGCAGTGATTAGGGAAATGATAAACTCACAGCTAACTCTGATCTTGAGACTTGCTGCTCCAGCTGAATGCATTTAAATTTATGTGGCCCAATGGGACCTATCCCAGTGTACTGAAAAAACTGGCTAATGTCATTGCAGAAACTCTCCCCATTATTTTTTCAACAATGTTTGGAGTCTGGAGAGGTCCCAGTCAACTGGAAGCACAGCGGATGCTCTCCCTGTTTTCAAGAAGTGTAGGAAGGAAGATTTTCGTTATTACAGGCTTATAAGTCTCACTTCAGTGACTGGCAAAATTATGAATAAATTTATTCTGAGAGTTAGTGAAAAATACCTGAGACACAATACAGTCATTACTCATAACCAGCACTGATTCACAAGGGGAAATTCCTGCTTTACTAAATTAATTTCCTTTTATGACAAAGACACCCATCTAGTTGTCCAAGTAAAGGCAGTAATGTGGGTTCTTTGATTTTAACAAAGCTTTTGTTACTGTCTCTCAAAGTATCCTTTTGGACGAAATGTCGTAGCACACAGATACTCAAGTTCATTATATGTTGTGTGACAATTGGCTGACTCAAATAATGGGGTCCTATCAGGCTGGCAGCCAATCACCAGTGGGGCTCCCCAATTTTAGGCCAATGCTCTTTGGTATTTTTATAAATTATCTGGATGTGGAAATTAAATGTGTATTAAGGAAGCTTGCCAGTTATACAAAAGTAGGAGGAACTCTTAACTCCCTCAAGGGTAGAGAGAATTTACAGAAAGATGTGACTGAATTAGAGAGATGGCAATCACCAACTGCATGAAATTTAACAAGAACAAGCATCAGATTCTAAGCCTAGGACAAAGTAATCCTGGTTATACATAACTGGTGGATGAGAGACTGAAGAAAAGCAAAGAAAGGCATCTATGTGATGGTTTAGGTAGATAGCAAGTTGGAGATGAGTCACCAACACGCCCTGGCAGTCAAAAGGGACAGATGTGTCTTGGGGTGCATCAAGCGCAGCAACATCGACTGGTCAAGGAAGCCGATTGTTCTGCTCTACTGTGCACTGGTGTAGCCCATCTCAAGACCTGTGTGCAGCTGTGGGTGCGTGCCTAGGTACAAGGCTACTAAACTGCTAGAGTGTGTCCAGGGGAGGGTGACCAAAGGGCTGAAAGACCTCCAGGATAAGGCACTCAAGAGCAGCTGAGATCACTTTGTTCACCTTGGAAAAGGTAAGGTTGTCCTTATCAGAGACTACAGCCTCCTCACAGCAGGCAGTAGGTTACTCTGTTGCTCTGGTGATCAGTAACAGGACATAAGGAAATGCAATGAAGATTCATCTGGGGAAATTCATACTGGACATTAGGAAAGTGTTCTTTATCAAGAGAGTGGTTGGCCACTGGAACAGGTTTCCCAGGGAACTGATCACAGCTCCAAGCCTGTCAGAGTCCAAGGTGTGTCTGGATGATGCTCTTAATCATATAGTTTAGGTTTAGGTAGTTCTGCAAGGAGCAGGGCATTGGATTAGATTATCTTTATGGACCCGTTATAAATGAGGATACTTTATTATTCTAAAATGAGGACAGAGGATCTGTCCCATGAGACAGAAATGAAATTTACATGTTTTCTGGTTTTGTTTACTCAAAGAGGAACCTGTTTCCTTGAAACACTTACTAGTTTAGCAAAACTGGCAACCTCAAAGATTTAGCAAGGTGACTGCAACATAGGCATATATTTTAATCTTTGTAATTCAAAAGTACCCAGTGACTTGCTAGCTGCTGTACTAATGCAAGGCCAGTGGAAGGTAAGAATCAGGCCATCAGATGGTAAAGCATAAATTCATGAATGCATAGGGTACCTTATGCAGTTTACTTTCTGAATGTTGTTTGTAAGTCCTTATAGAAAAGGACTTAATTTCATTATTTTTAAATTATTTGGAGTAGGATTTGGGAAAATTTTTTATCACTGAAAAAACTTTTCTTCAAACTAGAATAAATTATTTGTATTATTTCTCTTCCATTTTCATTTTTGAAAGCTTGATAATTCAGGTAATCTGAAATATTTTTAAAATTTCAGAATTTTTAAGTTTCTTCAAACAGAAAGTCTCAATACAGTTGAATAATGACTTTTTTTTTTGATCCTTTGTACAACAAGTGAGTTCCACGGTTCCATGTTGTAACAACAGTCATGTAAACTTCAAATTTTGTTTAACAAGGTGTTCATAGCTCAGACATGAAGAATTTCAATGTGATCCCTACTAATTTACAGAATGGCATAAATCAATATTAATATGAGATTATATAGAAGCTAGTCTTAAATATCAATATATTAAAATAGAAATTCAGGAAATATTTGGGAATGGTGGTAGTAAGAAGGAAGATTCTTATTTGTGAGCGGCTGATTTTGGCTTTCTTTTCTGAGAAGAATATTAATGGAATTTTTGTCATATGAACTAAAGATATATGACAAACATGAGAGAAATAAATGTATTTTCGTATGTGTCTCATACGGTATTTCCACATGGTTGAAGTGACAAAATAAGGGTTCTGGTCTAAAATCAATGTGCCTTTAAGATATCAGATACATCTGCAGATTTTTTACTTGACTGTAGTAAACCCTTGCAAAGGTCCCTGATAATATACGGATTAAATTATTTCACCAAAAGCATCCAGTTTGCTGTAAAAACATTTTTTTCCCCAAGTTCACCACACCATACTTTATGATTCCAGTTGTTATAGAGAACTTGACACCTAGAGTGACTGGCCTCACTTTCTCAACACCCTTGAAATGTGTCAGCTGTAGCTCCACAGATGCGGCTATTCATACCTTAGTGCCTCAAACGTTTTTCAGTGCCATGGGAGAGGGAGCACCGTGGGGCGAGGAGCAACAGGACACATCCAGCACTGCTATCTGCACAGCCAAAATTTGCCTTGCTACCAGTTGGAGCAACTGACTCAGCTTGCAAGCTTTGCTTCTTAAAGAGGAGGGGGACGAAAAAAAAAAAAAAAAATTAAGAGGAATGCACTTGACTACTTGACTGCAATATTCCTCCCTCCCTCCCTCCCTTCCTCCTTTCCCTCCCTTCCCTCCCTTCCCTCCCAGGACGCGGCGCTCCCGAGTCTGTAGCGGGCGGTGCGGCGCGGTCCCCGCCGTGCGGGGGCGCCCCGCGGCCGCGGCCGTGCGGCCCCTGCGCACGGGCACGGCGGTGGGAGGGCCGGGCCGCGCCGCGCCTCTTCCACCTGCCCGCGGCTTTAAAGTTGCAGCCGGGCGGGACGCGGGATGACTCCGGTCGCGCTGTGCCGGACGCAGCTGCCGGGGCGCGTCACGGTCTCGTACACGAAACGGGGCCGTTTTTCTCCACCGCCCCTGCCTAGCCGCTGTTCCTTTCCCGGGCGGCCGGGAAGGACTGGTGCGCCCGGGAGATGCCCATGCCCGCCGCGGCTGCCCCGCGCGGCGCACTCGCCGTCCCCGGCGCTGCCGCGGTTCTCGGCGCCTCCGCGCCCCGGCAGCGGCAGGGCGGGCGCGGGTAGTGCCGCCGCTGCCGCCTCAGGCCCCCCGTAGGGCGAGCCATGGAGCCCGGCGCCCTGCCTGACCTCCGCGACGTCGAGCAGAAGCTGGGGCGCAAAGTGCCCGAGAGCCTGGCGCGGCCCCTGCGCGGGGAGGAGCTCCCGGGCCGTCCCGCCGCCGCGGCCCCCGGGCCCCGCCGCCGCCGCGCTGCCGCCCTGGCCCGGCTGGAGACGAAACTTCAGCTCCTGAGGCAGGAGATGGTGAGTAGCCGGGCGCAGCCTTCCGCACGGCCGCCTCCCGCTCGGCAGCACCGGGACGGGGCTGCGCTGCCGCTGCCGGCCGGGCACCGCGGCAAGGGGCTGCTGCCCGCCCTCCGAGCAGCCGCCCCGCTGCCATCCCCGGTGCGGCCGGGCGGCAGCGAGCGCCCTGCTGCCGCTGGGAGAGCGAGGCCGCTCGTCCGTGCCTCAGAGAGCCACTTGTCGGCTCCTTGGCGCTTTTCCTCGCGGCGGGGCAGGTCGTCAGGGACTCGTAGTTGGCTTCTGTTCCTGTCAGCTCGTTAGAAGTACTGAAAGCTGGAGTACCAGTGAGAGAAATAAGGCACTCTACCGTTGTTGTAACTGCATTTCCTGCATTGCACCTGTTGCCTGCTCATGGCTAACACGTAAAGACACACAGGATCTTTTCAGGCTGGAAATTCGGCCTGGAATTCAGGGACCTGATTGCTGGACTTCAGTCGTCAGAGACTTAATTAGTTCCAGACAGGCTGCAGATCATGAAGAGTAAATCTTGAAAAAACAACTATTTCTACTTTGGTTGAATGGGATGTTTTCTTCTGCCAGTGATCTGTAATAGGACTATGCTGTATGTAGTTTAGATCCTCTAACTTGTTTACTATGTTAGTGCAGCTGCTTGTCCTACTTTGTATGTCACCATATCAATAAATTTATTTTGCCATAAAAGGATGCAATAAAGCTGGCTTATTTTTTTTTCTAAGACGAACCAAAAGGAACTCTTTGCAAGCGACAAAATGATTAGTGAACACTCAGCAAATATGATCTTGACAATGGAGCGTACCTCAACTATGTGAGCACAAATAGTTTCCATTTTTATTAGTGTGTGTTATGTTAAGTCCCAGAAGCCACTTTTAGTAGCAGTTCTTTCCATAGCTCCTGCCACTAAGCTTATTTGAAAATGGGATGAAATTTGATTGGGTTGGGATGGGGATTTTTTTTTGGCAACGTGTTGAGGTAACTTTATGCAACAATCTTGGAATTCAGCCATTTACAGCCAATAAATCTATATCATTCTATCTGAACAAGTTCAATGCCAACTCACAAGTCCCTCTACAGTGCTATATATAGGTACATAGTTGTGTGGTTAGTAAGGGTTTTTAAAGAATAAGTGTGTTGAGCAAAAAGGGGAAGAGTATCACTATTTTGATAGTTAACAGCCAAGACGGTAATGTTAATCTTGAGGTTAAAAATTACACCTGGTGTTGTATGGCTTCATATTATTTAAGAGATCTCTACAAATCAAACTGTCGGTGTATTCTGTGAAGCTGTTTTAGCCACCATTCACTACCTAGACTGGGCCAAACAAGAAAGCTGGAGAGAAGGACTTAAGCAGCATGGAGTGTCAGGATGAGGGCGAACAGCTTTGAACTGTAAGAGGGTAGATGCAGAGGTATTGGGAAGGAATTACTCAGAGGGTAGTGGGACACTGGGACAGGCTGCTTGAGAGACATTGTGAGTGCCTTTCTGCTTGTCGTTTGGAAGGTGTCCCTGTCCTTGCCGGGGAGGTTGGAACTAGATGATCTTTAATGTCACTTCCAACCAAAGCAATTCTGTGATTCTATAATTTTAGGGTAGCGATCACTGGGAATTTCAGTTTTAATATTGAGTAAGACACTGCTTATCTTACGCTTATTTTTTAATTTTAAGCTTGCATGATGGTAATAGAATGACCTGCAGGTAGCTTATCATGCATGGGATGTTAGACTGCAAAGGAAGTAAATAAGGTAACCAGAGTTTTTGACAGATCATGACTTCACATCAAAACTAGGCCTATTAAGTGAATTGCCCATATCACCTTTACCTTTCGAGCTGATCTCTTCTCTTACTTCACACTTGCAAATTTCATGTCACACTCTTTCTTTTGCCTCTTTTTCCTCCACGCATCCCTTTTCTCTCTTTTCTCTCCCTTCTATAAGCACAAACATGTTTTAGTCCCTCTCCTGTTTTTTGTCACTTCAACGACTGACTTTTCTTTCCTGAACTAATTTCTCATGCTGAGTAAGAGGACTTGGGTTACAATGCTCTTACCATTTCTGATCTGTATATCCCCATTAAACCACCAGTACAATGACTAACTATGAAGTATTGGTACCCTGTCTATACCTTTCCCATGCTTTCAGCTGTCTGCTGTAATCCAGAGTGTGAAAGTGGACTACCTTCCTGGATTTTTTTTTCTCTAGCCTCTGGCATCTTCAGGATTTTCCTCAACCCCAAGGGTTTCTTCAGCTTCTTAATCTGTCACTTTCCCCTCTACAGTTTTCTTGGCGGACATATTGTATAAATTTATGAACAATATCAGGTAAAAATTGTAGTTACTTTCTGTGTTTCTTTCTTCTTTTCTACTGCATATAATTTCTAAAATGAAGCTCAAATATCTATTTTCTTATTTCACGCCTCTTGCTAATGCATTATTCTTTGGTTTTGGTGCAAGGCATAGGAGGTCTTTGACATTTTTAGCTGCTGCAGTAGTAAACATGCAAAAAATGGAAAGAACTAGAAAACCAAGTGTCATGTGTTCACCTTTCTTTTTTCTAGTTGTACAATGATGGCAGGTTACTCACTGAATTTTGGATAGACTTTCCTCTGTGTTTGTTACTTGCTCATTCCAGACTTGAGAAAAACTTTTTGTAAACATTTAAACCCCAAGGTTATTCAGGTCCTTCTTTTCTAGTGGTATATAAAGAAAGACAATGTTTTGACTTGGAAATGCTGGGGTTTACTGTGAGCTACAGTACCTGACAAATAGGTGGGGTGTATGTGACAACTGTCCATCTGCTGTGTGAAGGACTTGAGGCTTTCCCTTACTCTTTCAGATTCTTTTGCAGTTCAAAATGGTTCTTTTTACATCAAGCCTGATTTTGCTAATAGCCACTGAAATCAAACACAAAGCACACAGAGAATCATTCTTGAAATACGAAACTTCTTGGCCAGGTTTACTTACCTTTTCTTATCCTCCATTTTCCCATGACGGAGACTACATTGGATCCTGAAAACCTTTGAGTTATAATGCCATAAATTAGAGATCAAGCAAAATGTAATTGCCAGCGTGGGTCAAAACACTGTGTTCTGGTCAAACTTGGGTGGAATGAATACCTCCCACTATCTGACCCTTGATTCAGTATGAAATTTGTCACTATTAAAATCTTTCTTCTTATGGTCTTTTAGGTGGAATGTTCCGTTGGGGAGTTGAACATAAACCTTTATAGCTGCATCCTTTTTTTTAGTGTACCATGCTCCTGAGGACACCATTCAACATATGCACCTTCACTGCAGTAAATAATATGTGAATCTCATTCTGCAGCCTGAAATGATACTGCTTGTAAAACCTCATTTCTACTTCACAAGTTCTGGCATTACTCAAAGGGAGATTTTCTTTAACACTCAAAGAAAGAGATTGGGTGGGGTTTTTTTCCCTTTAATTCAAAAGTTTCTTAAATCAACTCTTTGCCTCTTTGCAAGCTAGAAATTTAAAGACAGTATAGCCTGCATTACATACAAAAAATTTTTAAAATGTTTTACATAAAAATATTTAAGGCAGAAAAGATAAGCTGTGTCTTGGAAGTGAGGCGTGGATGGCAAAGCTGGGACTTTTAATGAGATTCCTTCCAGTGAACATTGTTAAACAAATTTTGTTAGTTAGTCTGAACATCTAGCTTGGTATACTGAGTGCAGCAATTTTTAGACTGAAGGATAAATAATCCTATTTTCAAGGAGCTGAGCATGCTAAAGGCATTTAAGATAGGGGAATATTCCTCATGCTAACTCATTAGTTGAGTTTTCTTCTCCTTTGTTCTACTAATTCAATTTTAGTATAACTGTTTTTTAAAGGCGATTAACATTGTTAATTAACAATTAATCCCTGACAAAATGAAACTGGAATTAAAGCATATGTGATTATTACAATGACAATCCTCCTTGGTTGGTGTTTTTGATTGTTTGGTTTATCTTGTTTTCTTTATGCTTTTTATATTGGTTTTGGGGTTTTTTTTAACCATCCCTAGCACATTAATGAAGGTTCAGGTTGGAGACTGAGCTGTTGTAACCCTATTCTACCAGCTCTAGAGAGTCTGACAAACTTAATATTTGCTCAGATTTATTAGACCCACAGTTGTGGAGGATCTGCATTTATTAGTTTCTTTGAAGGACTGATTTAAAAAAGTCTACAATTGTAGACTTAAAATAGATCTTTAACACATGCTGTAGGTGCAGACTGCCACATAAACTGTTTTGTATGATAACATCAGTTGTCTTAACTGAAGCCAAGATCTGGCTTCAGTGTGTCTCCTCAGCAATGCAAAGCTGTGTATCAGATGCTGGTTTTCTGTTAGTTTAATTGTGGTTTTTGCTTAAAAACTTGACTGAAGATAAAATCTTAAATATAAAATTACTATGTAGGTGAGTTTGATTAACTTTTTTTTCTTAATGAGCCGTTATTCAGTGAATCCCTCAAGTGAGGTTCTTAGACAAAAAGAAGGCATACAGAAATAGAAATTAACTTATTTCTCCAGGTCCTCATGAAGTTCACTGAAAAAGGGGTTAATCTTGTATCTTGCTAGCAAGTTCTCTCCATATCCTCCAGTTTGCATGATGTAGTAGAGGAGTTGGTAATTTTTGCATATAATGCGGACTGAGCAGTGATCATAACCGTGACTCACGTTAAAACGGTGTTGTAGATTAATCCTTAGAGAAAATAATCAAATCTAGTAAGGAAACAATGCAACTTAACTATAGCACCAAAACTTTGCCAAGTTTTCCATCTCTTCAGATCATCTCTGGTAGGATGAGTTGACCAAGGTTATTTAAATCAATGCATATTTTGACTGGCAAATCTCACTCAGTGCCTGGCAGAAAGATTTGAATTGTAGAGTTTGTCTGTTCTTACTCAGCTTTAGCTGCTGCATGGCCAAGAGTCCATAAAACCTTGCTGGCACCTTAGCATGTAGCATCAGTGTGAGATACTTCAGTAC